TATAAGTTACACTTAGTCTTTACATATTAATACAATATGAATAAATAAGAGTTATGGTTTCAATTACACTCTATCGATGGGGAAAAAAATTGTATGATAGTTTAAAATATAATATATTTAAAATCCAACATATTTAAACAGCTCCATAAATGTGTTTGATTTACACCAAGAACAAAGAATACGAGATCGAGAGCAAGACTGAGAGTTATAGAGCAATTGAACGAGAGAACTTTTAATAACTAATGGTGAATATGAGTTTGAATCGCACATTGGAAGATGGGAGAAGACAAACAGAGTTATAAAAGGGTGAAAGCATGAATAAAATGTATCAAAAGTATCTTAGGAACATGAAAAGAAAATGTAATAATGTGCATTGGTAACTTGTACTATATGTTATTTTAATTGTAAATTTAAGAGATTTTAAGACTGAATATATAAAATAATTGTACTTAATGTATTATGAGTTATTTTTAAAACTTTGTACATAAAATATATAATATTTTATGTATTAAAAATTATTTTTAAGACTTTTGATAAATCTGATTTATAAGATACTAGCTGTTTACCCGCGCAATGCGGCGGGAGCAGTGAATGTAAACGATTTCGAAGCTTTGGCGTTTTTGTTATTTTAAGGATGATATATTTACACTTGCGAGATATTTATCCAAATTTTTACTCAATAAACACTTACCGGTAATTCTTAAGTTCTAGCAACTTAAGATATTACTTCTTTTGATCAAACTCATAAAATGGTAAGTGCAAAGATAAAAAACCACATAGCAAATAATAACAATAAAAAACCATCCATCAAGAAGAGAAATCAAAATAAACATAACTGATCCATGAAAGACCCCCCAATTTGTGTACATTGAAACATAGAATATGGAGAGCATGTAAGGCAAGGTAAAACACACATCCCTTCATTGCTCCATCGACTGAAACTGCAAGTCCTTTATCCCCCTCCTTCCAACTCCGTTCTGCCCATCCATGGTGGCTACGTACCCCCCACACCCAAAACAGAAAACCCAATGCACAGAAATAAACAGAGAAAACATCAACTTTGGTTGCTTATTATCAAGAAACCCGACATAGCAACAAATGTATTTGAAACTATAAACAGAGAAAACATCAACTTTGGTATTTATTATGAAACTATAATTTTTTTTAAATGTATTTGACCATGACTTTGACTTATAAGCACAAGGACCTATAGTTGTACTTCGATTAATAGTAGGAAAGACCAAGTGTGATTTGACTATTGTATTTCATGAGTTTGGATATAAAGATAAACAAGATTGAATGGTAGATGCATCACTATATATCAAAGGTCCTACTACTTCCCTCTGCTCAAAGGCTTTAACAATTCCTTTATGTGTATACACAGATCTTGGTGTATTTCTCTTGCTCATTTACCTTGAGTAGATCGTATGTAAAGATAGGGACCATACTCATTTAACTTCCAAGATATTGTAACTAAATTTAAGCAGTTTTAATCAGATTATTGGACAATTTTTGATGGTTGGATGACAGTCTTGTGGGCTCTAAGTAATTGTCTACACCACATCTAGTTTCAAAAAAACAAACAACACATTTCATGGTTTGGAATACCCATTTTCTTTGGGGGGGAGTGTGTGGGCGATCTTTATTCATGTATGGAAGAGTGTAGAGACTAAAATAATATCAATTTCAAGAAGGCAACTAATACTAATCAATAGAAAATTTGATTTCATGAAAGCAACTAATAATATATTACTCAATAGAAAGCAACAAAAAAGTAATCGATAGAAAAATCGATTCCGAGATGGAAAACTAATTACCTCGATTGATCGATTTCGGTAGATGGAGACTGAAGCAAGAAAGCAATCTACAAGCACCTGATATCAAATACAAGATAGTATAGATTAGCTTAAATTACATGTGTTCTTACAGCTTACTTACTTGGAGGCAATCTAGAAGGACAAATTATACCAAAACCTGCAATAAACATGCCTTTGCATCAGCAATAGGAGATACAGTTGCCTCCTTTGGGAAAAAAAACTGATCTATTGACAWAGAAACTACTTCCTTCAACATAGAATCCACCAACAAAAGAATGTAAAAATAAATCCCATATCATAAAAAGATCTAGAGGGAATCAAACATAGTAAAAAGATCTAGAGGGAATCAAACATAGTAAAAAGATCTAGAGAGAATCAAACATAGTAAAAAGATCTAGAGGGAATCAAACATAGTGAAATAAAAAGATCTCAATCAGTTATCTCACCTCCCTCCCCCACCAAGAAAACATTAAAAAAAGAAACTTGCCTTTACCCTACCCCCTCTTCTTTCTTTCTTGCATTCACATTCACATTCATAGAAATATATGTGTATGTATATATATATATATACCAACCTATCTAACATTTCAATCAACAAAAAGTCTTGAAAGACAAACCAAATTTAGTTGGTCCAGTTCATCAATACATTTTTGAGAAAGAAAAAGCGAAGAGCAAAATGAATATGGAGGATGGTTTGAATCTTACATTGGGATTACCTGGAAGAGGAGATGAAGAATCAACCATTTCATGCTTCAAGAACAACAAYAAACGGTYRCAGCCTGAAACCAATGATGACTGCGATGAATCCAACCAAGCCAAAGAGGGTGACATGGAAACTTCACCTGCAGCCAAGTAAGTGAATTAATTAATCATACACATGTAGTCGAGTCTTTTAGTTTGGTGATATGTGATTAAATCCAATTGATGATGGCAGATCACAAGTGGTTGGATGGCCGCCAGTGCGTAAATACCGAAGGAACAACAATATAAGTGGTAGCAAATGCAAAATGTAGATTGAATAAAAATAAAAATCTCTCTTTATGTTTGATATGAAATAGCAAAGAGGCATACCATGATTGATATTCATCCTTGAGATTTTTTCTCTCATTTCTATTATGAAAAATGGATTGTGCTATATACCATCTATAAATGTTAGGATGGCAATCCATCCAGAGTTGTAACTTCACGACAACATAAATCACTAACAGTACATGTTATGCATCTATAGTGAAGAAGATAAAAGTATTACCCAAGTATCCATGTCATAAGGAAGCCGATGGCAAGCCCTTCAGAAGATTTTTCTTTGAAATTTGTGATGATCTGAGATACCTCTGCGACACCCCAACTGACAACACTAACTATTCCCAATATCAGCGAAATCCAGTCCTTCCTTGAACAAAGACAATACTTCATATAAATAAAAATATTATAAACATCTTACCCGGAGAAAGCCAACGATTGAGAAAATGGTAAGATTGGTGTTCGATTTACACCAAACTATTGGGGAAAAAATTAAACCCTAAAACCCAAAGCAACCTTGAATAAAATCAAGAAGCAATTCCCAAAAATTTACGGCTCATATTAGAGAATCGTACCAGGGGCGAAGAATGAAGAGATGCAGAGACAGAGCGAGAGATGCAAAGCGAGAGCGAGAGATGCAGGGCGATTGAGGAAATGGAAATACCATTAATTCTATATAAATCGAGAAATCAAAACCATTATGTTGAACACAAAACAAGAAATACAATGATACAACCCTAACCTCGATCATTGGTATGGTCGATGTTGATATATGAACCAGAAGCCATGTTGGTGGGTCGTCGGAAGCGGATGGAATCGGATGGAGAAATCGACAAAAGTGGTATTGAACCAGAAGCCATCTTGGAGACTGAATCGTCGGAAGTGAGCGTGGAGTTGCATTGGAAAGGGAAGTGAGCGTGAGGGTGAGGGTGAGGGTGAGGGTGAGAGGGAGGGTGGAGCGTCTTTTGAAAGTGAGAGAGAGCCGGGTAATCAAAGTATGCTTTATAGAATTGTACTAAATGCTTTAGAAGTTGTATATTTTTAAGACTTTAAGACTTAATGCATAAAAAGATAGTACCTTATGCATCAAAACTTGTTTTTAAGACTTTTACCAAATCTCATTTATAAAGTAGTATAGATTATAGATATACAGACATAAAGCAAATTGGAGCGGGGGATGGTACGTTAGGCATAGGAAGTAGTAGGAAAAGTGAGTAAAAGTCAAAAATGGGAGTTTGACCCGTCGAATTAAACTGGGAAGAAAGTCCCTTGAAATCCACGCCGACATGTCACCCAGAACGCCAGCTGTCACGCTCCCTCTTTTTCCATTCTGACACTACTAACAGCCTACTACCACCAGACCCAACACATGGGTCCCACTTATTTATGTTTTTTCTATAGTTTCATCTCATGTTTTAAATCTTATTTAATCTAGTAGACTATTTACCATTTAAAAAAAAATACTTATTTGAAATAATTTATGTTTTTTAATTAATTTATTATAAGTTGAAATAGTTTAATTTTTTTTAAAGTTATTTGTTATAGGTTTGACATTGGTATAAGATGTTTATCCAAATACTTAAAAATACTTATTTTCAGTACTTCTAGAATAAGTCAATAAGTTATTTTTACGATACATGCCTAGGTGCAATTTGCAAATATACCTAAAAAAATAAGCAAAAATACTTATTTTGGTGATGTTTGACCCCCTGACTTCCTAGGTGGCGCAAGCGACAAGACTACAATATTGGTAGGCCAAAAGCCCTTTGATATATATTCTTATCCTTGCATGTACTTGTTTCTTTCACTTTATATATATATATATATATATATATATAATATATATATTTTTATAAATGTAATTATTTTATTATTAATTGAAAAACCAAAATTAATGAGTAAAGGATGAAGGTGGTTGATGATGAAATGCAAGTACAAGGGTGCTAAGTGACAAAATTAAAAGTCCAGGGGTCCGAAGTGAAATACCAAAGTTTTTAGTCAGTGTTCCTCAATTCTCACGGTGTATAGAGAGTGATGTACTACAGTGGAGCTCACATTTTCTCCCCCTTTATATACACAAGCTCCAACCTGCAATTCTCTTCGTTTTCTTTCTCCCCCACTCTCTCTCGATCATACCCACATCGAAAACAGAGGAAAATTTTCCCGCCAAAATACCTTCCACCTTCATCTTCTTCTCCTGCATGGTGGTTGCCCTAATTTTCCCATCGATTTCTGTCCTTTCCACAAGAAATCACTTCATTTCATCCCCTAATTCTCCATAGAACCATCAGAAGCTCTGTAAAACCGTCTTGATTTGTTCTTTTTAGGGTTTTTTCTTCTCGGATATGGGGCTAAAAAGTGCTGTTACCGTACAATCGGTGAAGTTTTCAGAGCATGTGTTCAGAACCAACAAGTTTGTTGAGGAGGAATCGCCGCCGCCATCACCGCCCGGTGATCCTCCGACGACGTCGTTTAAGCGTAGGATCGTTAGGATCAGCGTAACTGATCCATATGCGACGGATTCATCCGGTGATGATGACGAAAAAGTTGTTAAGAGAGTGAAGAAACATGTATCAGAAATAAAATTTAATCCGCCTTCTTCTAGTTCCTTCAAACAGGATCAACGCAAAAGAAGAGACGTTCGGAGCACGGGATCCGTGGAGAAGAAGTTCAGAGGAGTTCGCCGGCGGCCGTGGGGACGGTGGGCGGCTGAGATCCGTGATCCGTTACAGAGGAAACGCGTTTGGCTTGGGACCTTCGATACACCTGAAGAAGCAGCGACGGTTTACGACGAAGCTGCCGTTAAATTGAAAGGTCCTGACGCCGTCACAAACTTCGGTAAAGTATCTTCTCCGGAGTCACCGATCGTTAAGGCCGAAACACCAACGGTGACGATCACCGGCAGTAGTAGTGGTGGAGAAGGATCGGCTAACGACGTCGTTTTCTCGCCGACTTCCGTTCTCCCATCTAACAGCGAGTTAACGCCGACGGACTATTTTAGTTACGGTGACGTGGATGCTTTCGGATTTGACATCGACCTGCCGTTTGATTTGCCGGAATTTGTCGTATCGGCGAACTTCCGCCGCGAGGAGTTCGGCGAGTTTGATATCGATGATTTCCTCGTTGACGTTCGATAAATTATTTAATTTAAAAAGAAAATACAAAAGGCATATTCAATAAATTCGGCTGGTTATGTAAGCGTGAAATGGAAAGAAGGGTAAAACCGTAATTTCGTGTAAGGTGTACGGCATTCTGAAAAAGTAAAAACGAATTTTCATGTAACATGAATATTTTCTGTAGTTATAAAATTCAAATATCTTCTATATTTATATTTTTGTATATTTTTTTAAATATATAATATTTATATATTATAAATAGAGCAATAAACTCACACATCATTTTCATCTTTGGTGAAATTTAAACCCCCTGAACTGCTAAGAGACTAAAAACTAAAGTTGGTACGTGTGATTTGTAGAAAGTAGAAATTCTTTTGACTATTTTTTTTTTCTTTTTTTGATTAACTTGAATATCCAACCCGTTATGCGAGCTGACTAATCTTAGGGTGATCACCTGCTTTGCAGATAGTCCAGAGTCACCGCATTTGAATCTCCGTGGCTGCAAGAGGATTTTTATTCTTCATTGAATTTGAACTTGAGAGCTCCTGGTACTTTTGACATTTGGATCCAAGCTCAAACCAATCAGGCACCACCCTTGTGGTTATTTTTTGTCTGTATTTTTTCGAAATCACAAGATGGATATTATGGTTTGTAAAAACGTTTGAATTTAACCTCCTTTTCAAAACGACCGTCACTTACCCAGTAATTGTTTGTTAACGTCCCTTAATTTGTCAAAAATCAAATACAGTATATAAATATACAGAGGCATAATGATCTACTAACCAATTAATTAGTAATAATTTTACAAATCCATTTGAGTTGTTTATTTTTCCGATCATCGGTTATCGTTAAATCGAAGGTTATAAACTTATGGGGGAATAAATAAATTTGAATGAAATTAAATTTTGTAAAATATCGTATTTTATCTTTAGAAGATAAATTCAGTTATTTTTGGAATTAAATTCATTTTTCTTTAAATTTGGTTTTAATTACATTTTCCAACCTGGATATCTAACCCGTTATTTGAGCCGACTAATTTCCAAATAACCACCTGCTTTGCAGATAGTCCGGAGTTACCGCATTTGAACATCCGTGGCCACAAGAGGATTTTTATTCCTCTTTGGATTTGAACCTGTGATCTCCTGATACTTTTGACACTTGGAGTCAACCTCAAACCAATCAGGCACCATCTTTGTGGTTCATTTTCCCATTAAATTCGTTTTCATTTTGGAAGTAAATTCATTTTCTTTCATGTATGGAGTTTGGTTGTTCAGTAGTTTTTTTTTTAATCGAAGTTCATACGTGAAATTAAATGATTTTTTGTTTAAAGTTCATAATGTTGTTTTATGTATTGATCAATTAGTTAACAAACGATAATATTTATAAGTATATAGGTGTATGTATACAGAAAAGAAAAGAAAGAAAACAAGACAAGGGCTCCATGGCAATATCTAATACAAGGGTTGTTGGATTTGTTTGCTTCAAATCGAAGCCTGAATCTTTAAAAAGTAGACCAGATCTTCTTCATGTGGAAATATAATATTTCACATGTTGTTTTATATATATATATATATATATATATAACTTATGTTTTCGTAAGATTCGTGAGACTAATTCTTAACCATTGGATTAAATCTACAATTTGAACATTAATAATTATAAAATTGCCACGAGACTTTTCAATAATCATAAAATTGTCACCGTACAACTTTAGATCATTAGATCATTAACTTATAAAGTTGATCAATGAACATAAATTGGGTTGGGTTCACGTGAGACCAAGGGGTTTTTTCGTGAGACCCGTAAGACCAATTTATGTTTATTAATCAACTTTATAATCTAATGATCTAATGATTTAAAGTTGCATGGTGACAATTTTGATTAACTTGGATAATCAATAAAGGATAAATATTTTATTTTAAATATAAAAAATCTAAAATATAATTATGATAATAAGAATTAAAAGATCCATATAATTGCATCTCCACATTGATGTCGTTTGAAGCTGATTCTGTAGCCGGTCAGTAATCAACTTTATCCCAATATTGGGAATTTGAGATTTTAGTCCCTGAACTTTTGTCCACCTTGCATTTTTGGTCCTTTGAGAACAAGATTCAATTTTTAGTCTTTGAAAGTGACTTATGAGTCGTCTTGTATCTCTTGAATTCAGTTTGACCATGAGACCTTAGTTTTTGCATTGAGTGGATGAAGTTTGGTCTACTAGTTAATGCTTCAAGAATTGTACAATCATATCTATGTGACATCAATTTCATATCCTCTTTTATTTATGGGTTTTCTTGTTTTTTTGGAAAATTTGATTTATTTTATTTATGTTTGTGAAATTAGCTGTTAAAGTCATGTTCATACGAGAACAATAACCAAATAAAAGAAATCCGAAAAAGTTGAACCAAATGTGATTTTACATTAAGAATTCCGTGTACAATCATTTGGCCCGACCTGAGGTCGTGAACCAGGTCGCCCGCAGACCTTTGCGTTGACTGTTAGCATAAAATCCCATGTGATTTTACACATAATTTTACTGTTTTTATGCTCTTTTAACACCCCTAGTTTGTTGTCATAACACACACACACACACACATATATATGGAAGGGTTCAAACGAGAACATATTCATTTTACGAGAATACGAGAACATCTTTTAACTATAGACAATCACATGTGATACTATTATTCCATCACATATGATGCACATGTGATACTACATCACATACGCGAGCGATTTTCGATGCGATCTTGGTTGTGGGCCAAGTCGCCCTTACACTACTAAGTCTCCTCACAAGTGTTATCACATCTGATAAGGTTGTTGTTGATATGATGCTACAATCCATCAAGACCATTACATGTGATGTTAAATCATAGACGCAGACAACATTTGGTGCGCCCTAAGTCGTAAAACAAGTCGTCCCCACATCACAGGGTCCCCTCACGTGTATTATCACATGTGATAAGGGTGTTCTTATGTTCTCATAAAATGGAGGTGTTCTCGTTTGTATCTCCCACCTACATATATATATATATATATATATGTGTGTGTGTGTGTGTGTGTGTGTGTGTGTTAAGAGTCAAGAGATAGATAAATAAATACATCCATTGCACTGATCGGGGGTGTTCGTAGTGACACAGGGGGTCGAAGACCAAGAAACGCGTTAATTATACCAAACATTCTTTTTACGACATAAAAGAATTTGTAAAAAAAATGAACAAAAAACCTCTATGTAAAAAAACCAGAAGTCAATATAAGTCCAATAACGAAAAAGACAGTCAATAGTTGACTTAATGGCCAAAGGATAGATTAAGACATTCATAAAGGAAAAGTTAAATAAAGACCCTCTAGAAACCAAACCTTGTCATTTTTTAATTACTTTTTTTAATTGTTTTTAAAAAAATTACTTTAATTAATTCCTTTTTTTATAATAGAAAAATTGTCGTTTTAAAAAAAAATATCAGATAATTATTTAATAATATTTATATTTAAATTTAAAAAAATCTTTTTCTTTTCTTTGTCTTTATATGCATCTAGTCGACCATACATTTTATAAATAATTGTTTATCTTAATAAATATATCTGAATATAATATTTTTGTTAAGGGTAAATTCCATGAAAAAGTAATATACTTTAATTTGATTTTTATTTTTGGTAACGTATTTTTAAAACTTTCATTTTGGTACCTAAGATGTAAAGTTTTAAACATTTAAGTACCCGAATAACCAATTGAAGCATTAACCGGTTACCGTGCTGATGTGCGAGTAATATGGTACCCAACTCTGTATTATTTGCCATTCAACCTAATTTCATCCCATCAATCGCCAAATTAGCACGGTAACCGATTAATACTTCAACAAGTTACCCGAGTACTTAAATGTTTAAAATTTTACATCGTAGATACCAAAATGAAGGTTTTGAAAATACGTTAGCTAAAATATGAATCAAGTCAAAGTTTGTTACTTTTTCATGCAATTTGCTCTTTTGTTAAAATCAAAAAAAGGTAATGAGTTTATCGTAAAATATAGAGTGCAAAATTTGTGATTCAGATAAAATACAAGTAACAAGTGTTGGTTGAATATGTTTTGCTAATTCAAATACTGATTATAAAAATCCCAAAAACATAGTTATCGTCGATAAATTTGGTCCTTGGGGTTTGTCGAAATTAACACTTTTTCTTCTTATATTTTGAAATTACAAAATGGTTATCGTGGTTTATAAAAATGTCCGGATTTGGTCCCTCGTTCTAACTGCCGTTAAATGAGGAGTAATTTCGTTCTTTTATCGATTTCTTTGTCTTTTTTATTGAATCAAAAACCACAGAGATCAAAATCAATAAAATCGATTTTGATTGGGTAAGAGACAAAAAAAAATCAGTACAAATCATGGCAATCGTATAAATTATGATATAATATTTCAATATTAAATGCATAAAATGCAACTCAATTTAACCTGACTTTAAACGTAGGGCTTGTTTGTTTTTTGAAAAAAACCACTTAATGCCTCTTAAGTCTGAACCGGTCAGACGTTTTTATTTTCAGAATGTTTTTTTTTACATAAATAAGAGCTGAAAAGCTCTTAATTTGCTCTGAAAAAAAAGTAATAACATAATCACTTAAATCCTCTTAATCGCTCCCTCCAGACTCTCCCCTCCATCCTCACCTCCAGATTTAGTCCTCCAAATCAATCACGACCCAAATCGATCCACATATTCTCGTAAAATCATGACCCAGATCGATCCAAATCTATCAGATCCAAAACTTGACTGATTCAGATTTCAGACGTAAAAACAAACAGTCTGACTGATTCAGATTTCAGACTTCAGACGTAAAAACAAATAGTTTGACTGATTCAGATTTCAGACTTCAGTACCACCTCTTAAAATTCAGAAGTGAAATCAGACTTCAGACTTCAGAACCTCTTAAAATACAAACGTCACCTTAATAAAACACCCTAAAACGTAACTGTACAATAAACCCTAACTAAGCTACCTACAATTGGACCTTTTGTTGATGTTAACAAACGAAACTGGATTACAAAAAGACTTCGGTTCCATGTTTTTCACGTAGTCTTTATAACGTGACGCTAACGTTCTAAAAAATAAAAGTTTAGAACATTGATGAACTCAGTATTTTTTTGCTTCGTTGAGCGATGACGGAGTTACATGTTGATTGAAGACCCAGAGATAT